AATATTTCACAACTTACTGCATTTTAAAACTCTTAATATTGCATAATTTACTGCATTTTAATAACCTCTCAACAGTCCGGTTGTCTTTTGAATATACATCATTCGCTAAAAAGACTAAAAAGAATTGCGCACAGAGTCTGGATTTTTCCACGGAATGAACTTCATAAACTATATTCTGGTAGAAAAGTCCACAATGGCATAAACTTACAGATGTGCGAGAACTATTTGTGGTACTTCTAGAACTATCTTCACGTGGCATCGATGCCGCATATCTGGTTGGTGTAGGACTTCTTGATGAGGAAAGCGGACTGACCGTAAGTTTAAACTGCCTCGATTTTGGAGGTGGACTAAGCAGTGACGTTTGCTGAAAATCGATGGTAAAATTTCTTCAATTTGTCAGAGGAAAAAAAAATCAAAACAATAAGAGATGACAAAAAAGAATTGCAAAGACAAAAATGTGTTAATTCAAAGTAAAAATCCTCCTGCTAACCGTATACTAAGCCTACTGAACATTCTATACCACAAACCATTCCCTTTATCCTCTTCACTCTAATGATCGGTAATTTGAAATGACATGTGATGCAACTCATAATTACATTACTAGAGATATGTCAATTCCAAGGACAAACAAATTAATTATTTCGTCGTAGTGCTTAGCATTATCATGGAGAGAACATATTTCAGTAACGAACTTACTGCTAATTTATTGTCCATTTGTACATCCGGAGTAGGTGATGGAACGGTCGTATGGAAACTTGATGATGATTCTGCAAATATACAATTTGCCAAATTACAACTTATCCTTTATTGAATTGTCAGCTAACACTCAAAAAAAATAAAAACAAAGCTAAAATAAAATTTATGATATTTTCTAATTTCCCAAACATTAAATGAATATATCGTAAAAGTTTTACAAGTATCAAGCATCAAGGAAACTTAACCATTCTAATTTTCTTAGAGATCAAACAGCTAAACTACAGCCAATTTGCAACACATTCTCAAAGACGTGACAGAACTTGGAAATGAAAAACAGGAAAACATGCAAGATAATGCCATATGCATCAGATGCATGTATATCGCGTGAACAAGAAATACCGGGGATCAGAAAGCTCAGTACGAACAAAAAACCTCTTCAAATTTAAAACATGGGAACAAACAGTGTGGTTTAATTGCAGTTAAACGAAGCGGTATACTGACAAGTTATATGCATTCACATGATATAAAGGAACTACACTAATGACCCTATTATCAAAACAAAAGTATTACCTTGTGAAGTAATTCCTTCCTTTTCGATTTCATCATCACCCTTTTCCTCATTGTCGGTCTCGATATCAGATGGTAATGGTGTAAAAAACTGTTCATCAACAATATTGGAAGGCAAATTACATCGATCCGTAGCTATCTCATTTCCATCGATTATATCGTTCGATTGAACAGCCAACTGCTCCTGTTCTTCAACTTGGGAATAACTTACATCAGACCGACCAACAACTGATATCAATAATGCCTCTTTCGAAGTATCCTGTTTGAAATTTACAGTTTCGCCGAATATTAATTCACTAGAATGATTACTTCCTGGTGAATGGATAGTTAAGGAAGCAGGATCTTTTAGAACTGTTGGAACATTCTGTGAGCAGGGTAACTTATTGTCTTTGGATAATGGCGTTTCATTCGAAGCACTGCAACTTCCTTCAACATAGTTTGATTTAAGAGATCGTTCACTGAGGCGTTCTGAAGGTGTTAAAGTGTTGCTCGAAGATAAACCGATGAAAGAACATGTACCACGTGTTCTTCCAGGTGAGTGAAGGTTTTTATATTTTTCAGAAACACTATCAGTTCCTGATTCCTCTTCTAATAGAAGCTTCGAAAATTGGGAGCTTTCTATATTTCCCTTTTTATGATCCCTTTCTGAACTACAGGATTTGTTTATGGTGTAACCATCAGCACTAGAAGTCGTTCTACTTTTATCAGCTTCCGAAAACTCTCCATCCGAAAACGTTCTTTCTGCAGAAACTTTCATCGAAGTAAGTCTCGAAGGTGATATTGGGTAGCCCGGCAAAACAGTCGATTTTTCATTGTTATCTAAAAATCATTGTATGAATGAAATGGAAGAGTTATGGAAAATATTCAAAAATAATTAATAAAAACAGATTGAAAGATAACGAGAAACTGATTACCATTCCCATTTTGCAACTTAATCAGTTGTGCAATATCTTTTTCCGTTTCCGTAATGTAACGTACATGAGCGTTGATTTGTGCCCTCAATGAGTTTTCCTCACTGAAAATTGTCATTGCAATGGGAAAAAAAAAAGAAAAAAAATGTTGCCTCACCTAATGTCCTTGAATCTTGATGAATTAACATGAAAAACAGGAAAAACAATGCAAAGATGAAATATATAGTAATGTAAAGGAAAAATACATTACTGTATTTATCTCTTTCT